GATATCATTGAAAATGTCTGCCGAAGAATACATTAGTCTAACGGCGAGTGTTATTAGTCTATGGTTTGGGTTCTCTATCATTGCGTTTACGGAGTATTTGAAAGATTTATTTATTAAATTAAATATTAAGATACAATTAATAAACTTATTTAGAGTAATTAAAAATTATTTTACAATTAAATATAATAATTGTAAACTAAAATTACAATCTAAATATATTATTAATAGACATTCAAATCGTATTAATGTTATAAATATTAACATGTTGAATATTAATTAGTATATTTTAAAAACATCAATAATTCAAGATCTAATATTGTTGTATAAGTTATCAATAAATAATAATAAATTTCACTTGAAGTAATTTACATAAATCATAATTGTCTATTGTCTAAAGTTGCTGATATATTAGTATCATGATTATCTACATTTGCAATAACATTAACATTTACCGTATCTAAAACAATATTATCATCATCTGTATTAACTTCAGAGTTATCATCATAAAAATTTTCTACCATTTTATGTTTGATTATAATAACCACATCGCAAAGTGACGCCACTATTATTAACGCAAGGGTTGCGCCGTGTAGTACGTATCGGAATTGATCCTGGTCATATAGCCAACAATTGCCGCTTTTACCGCATGTACTCTCCCATACCAAACAGACTGAGTCGGCGATCGACCCGAATATAATTGGATATGGTATGTATGCTAAAAATACAGTATAATTATTATGATAATATACTGTAGTATTACCATTATAATTTTCATTAAAATGTTTATGGATAAAATATGGTAATTACCAAACAATGCCAAAAAGCTATTTACAAAACCCATAGCAAAGCTTTTGTCTTTCGGATCGATAACTCTGTAAGTTTTAACAATTAATTTATAAACTATTTTTAAAATACTTAAAATTTGTATTGTTTTAATAATTAGTAGTTTTATTTACCTTAATGCTAGTAAAATATTGCCGGTCCTAACTGTAGAAGTGACAATTGCTGGCAACGTTTTGACCATCAAAAAATTGTACAAATTAGTACAATTGTCGGCATCGCTCTGGCAGTACCCACTGGTTGCTAATCCACCATGATCGCTTATGCACGTACAATTAGTGGCAATCTATAGTTTAAATTAACATAAATTAACAATACTACAATACAACATTTATTTAATAACAAATATTATTAAATTAATAAATTAATAAATACCCCGGTAATTTTATCAAAATTTGTGCAGCCGGCATAACACGGAGAGAAAAATGTGGTCACTCTATCAGCTGAACACATAGGCGTGAATACACTGGTAGTGCAATCGCAACCCTGATTACACGCGGTACTCATTGAGAATCTATAGACAAATAACTTAATTATTTATTATCAAATTATTTAAATTTGCTATAATTTTAAAACATACGTGGTTGTTTTTGTATCACTGATGGGCCCGAGTTGTAGTGGTGGGCAGCCCAAAAACATTGATGCCAACATGGTAAAATTTGACACCCATTCCAGGCAAAACATGTAGATAATCAAGTACAACGCTTTAGGTTTAATGTACCTTATCCCAATACCGCCCGCTAATGTACCAGCTGCCATTGGCAATAAATTGGCCACACCCGTTAATAAATTGGCCTTGCTGCCCGACACCCTGTACTGGGACTCCATGTATTTGGGCTTGGTGGTACCGTAACCTCCATAACCCGTATACCGTAATGCATTTCCAATCAGATTAAACATAAACAGTGGATTTGTTAGCAGTCGTTTAGTGCAGTCCATAAACCCTATGTATTTAAAAGTATTGGTTAGTTAATTAATTATAAATTTGCACAAGGTATTTAAATAAAATAACTATACTGTATAGAATAAAAATATTACCATGACTGTTTGCATATTCAACACGATCAATCTCTTTCACCGAGGCACCTTTGAGTTGCTTTGGGAATAGAAACATTGGTAGATTTACCAAAAACAACAATACCCCGATCACTAAAAATCCTAACCACCATGCACCAATAAATCGTGGATCTGTACTTTTTACATTAGGGTTGACTACAAAAAATTACATTAATACATTAAGGTAATTCAAAATTTTATTATATACTCACAAAACGGATTTTCATAAAACCTCAAGCAAAACGAGCCCAGCATAAAACCACCGGCCGGGCCCAGCATTTTCAATATACCAAGCATGCTCATATAAAGTGGCGAGCTAGTTTTGCTAACACTATCATCCACGAATGCCAAACCAAATACCCAGTATGCTGTGTATCCAATACCCCTCAGCGCACTACCTATTATTAACATAATAACAGCTCCCCATATAGTAGAGTGACCACCTTTGGCTGTGCAATCAATTGTATTAATTTTGGCCGAACACAACTCGTAACGCGTGTTATTGGCTGTCATTTTGGACACTAGTGTGTCATCGTATAGTAGGTGTGTTCCCGGGCCGTATATAAAGTAAGGCACAGCATTTATTACACATGATAACACCAGGATCATTTCACTAATGGCTATCATACGCGGTCTACTGTAGCGATTGCCTAAATAGCCAACAAGTGGGCTTAGCTAAAATAAACAAAACACCAAGACTATTTATTTCTAGTAAAACTATTATTCCAAAAAATATAATCTAGGTATAAAATTACTTACAAACAATTCCACGATATTATCGGCTATTAATATAACTCCCGATATCTTAGAGTCAATCGCAAACCTCTTTTCCACTGATGTTAACACTGCTATCAAATACGTTGTGGACATTGTCTGCACCACACCTATCAGGGCGTACACTATGGCAAACCAGAAGGGCGTGGCGAACACCTGTAGCCACCCGGGCCTCCACGAGCCCAGTCCGCATGTGGTCACTATATGGTCATCTTGGTTGTCATTTTTATTATGCTGATTATTATGTTTATTTACCATGATTTAGTTTTAATTTTAATATTAAATGTAAAATAAATTAATGTTGTTATTATGAAAATTTAAACTTGTTATTTATTACAATATATAATTATTAAGTTTTTGTTAAATAAATAATTCTCTAGTTTAAGTGTCAAATATATAATTAATTTGAAACTGTGCAATTTCATTAATCGTAATTGTAAACATAGTAAAACTTGATATCAAGGACAGTCTAATCTAAATTTACTTATTTATGTTTGATTCAGATAATATAAATAATTTTAATTAAAAATATAAAATTTTATTTTATTATATTAAAACATTTATAATATATTTGTTATCGATATTAGTAAATTTGATAATAATTAAACTGTGTCAAATAAATAAGTGTAACTCAAGTATAATTAAATTATTGCTGTTCAGTCTAGTATAGCGGCTATACTTAGTGTAACCATATGTTCAACTAAAATATCTAACTTGAATATATACATAATTAATTGATCAAATTTACATTTGACAAACATTTCACATTATAATTAAATATAATTATATTTAATGTAAGAGGTACGTGTTAACAAAAGACAAAGTTCAATGTTAATGGATAAAATGTCAAAAATTTTATATTAAAAATTTTATTTTTTTTTAAATTTACGAAATTATATAGCATTGTAAGCATAATTGAAATTGATATAAATGATGTTCAGTAATTACGTTATTCACTATAAAAACATACATAACTGATAATAAATTTCTTAATTTTGATATAATTATTATCTCCTATTGCGGATTTGAGAAATTCCTTCGGATATCGATTCTACTCATCCATACCTTTCTATTGATATATAATATGATATGGTTATTTATAAATAAAATAAACGATTTGACTTTCAAAATTTTACCGAAAGTTTAAAGGACGTTTGTGGATAGACTGAAAGCTAACCACTATAAAAATGAGCGAGAAAATATTAGGTTAACCTTTACGCGGTGTTTCTTGTTTAATATTGAAAACCTAAACTTTTTTGCTGACCGTTGCGCCACCTTTTTATGGCATACTGTGAAACTGTACTTGTGATATACTAAAAAAAGACTGGACAGGCTTAAATTAAATGATTGTGATAAAAATTTTTAATATAAATCTTACAATTTAATTAATAAAAATTTAATCATTATTAGATTTATTAGTAAAATTTGTTTGATCAGAATTAAGTATATTTAAACCTACAGATGTTGCATGATTATTCTCGTTATCGTTGTTTTTGTTATTATCATTATCAATTTCAGCATTGTAGAAACTTTTCATCCGGCCAGCATTAGCAATTAAACCAAAGTCACATAGGGTACCAGTCACCATAAACACCAAGGTTACAATGTGTAGTACATAGCGGAAACGATCCTGATCATATAGCCAACAGTTACCGGTTTTACCGCACGTGTTCTCCCATATCAGACAGACTGAGTCGGCGATTGCGCCGTATATAAGCGGATATGGTATATACGCTGCGACAATAATTATGTATAATTTTAATTAATTAACACTTAATTAACTTTAATTAATTAATAAATACTGGTGATGGAGAAAAAACAATTTGCAAAGCCAATAGCAAAACTTTTGTCTCGTGGGTCAATTACTCTGTAATATAAATAATAATTGTAATAATTTTACCAATATATTAATTGTTAATATTATTTATATGTAAAGTATTGTATTATATTGTAAATATTTTATTTACCTTAAGCCAATTAAAATATTACCAACCATACCAGTTGATGTTAGAATAAATGGCAGAGTTTTAACCATTAAATAATTGTATAAATTTGTACAATTATCGGTATCGCTTTGACAATAACCAGTGGTTGCTAATCTACCATGATCAGTTATGCACGAACAATTAGTTGCAATCTGTTCATTGTACCAAAAAAAACACATAATAAACTCATAAAAAACACATATTAATAATATATAAAGAGATTAATAGATTTAACATTAGACTTTACATAAATAAATTAAATTGTAAATGATTAAATGTTATTTGATATTAATATTCCATGTTATTAATAGAGTAAAAATTAAATCTACCCCGGTGTTTTGATCTAAATTTGTACAACCGGCAAAACATGGCGAAAAATATGTGGTCACTTTATCGGCCGAACACATCGGTGTAAATATACTGGTAGTGCAATCGCAGCCCTGATTACAATCAGCATTCATCGTAAACCTAAATTAATTGCCAAACAGTTATTAACCATAGTAGTATTAAATTTAGTAATTAATTCTACTTAGTATTTGCTATCTCTGTGTTTGGTCCTAGTTGTATTGGTGGGCAGCCCAAAAACATTGACGCAAACATGCTACCATTAGATACCCATTCCAAGGCAAAAATGTAAATTATCAAGGTAATTGGTTTGGGTTAAAATATCGTATCCCAATACCGCCCAATATTACTCCAATGGCCACGGGCAGCATTCCAGTGACGCCTGTTAATAAATTGGCCTTGCTACCTGACACCCTGTACTGTGACTCAATGTATTTGGGCTTGGTCACCCCATAGCCCTGGTGGCCATTAAAACGGAAACAATTGCCAATTAGATTAAACATAAATAATGGATTTGTTATAAGCCGTTTCACACAATGAAAGTATCCTACACCATAAAAATTTATTAGTTATTTGTGTTATAAATAACTATTAAAATTACCTTGAGCACTATTATCGTACTCGGCACGATCTTTCTCTTTGACGGAGGCCCCTTTAAGCTGCCCTGGAAACAAAAACATTGGTAGAGTAGCCAGAAATAACAGTCCGGCTATTACTAAAAATCCAATCCACCATGCGCCAATAAAACGTGGATCTGTGCTTGAAACGTGTGGGTCAACTATTTAAACAAAAACATGATTATTACATTGTAAAATTTTACGGTAAAGCTTACAAAGTGGATTTTCGTAGAATTTGAGACAAAACGATCCTAATAAAAAACCACCGGCGGGTCCGATCATTCTCAATATGGCCCATAGGCTCATATAAAGTGGTGAACTCTTTTTGCTAACACTATCGTCAATAAATGCCAATCCAAACACACAGTAAGCAGTATAGCCTACACCTCTCAACGCACTGCCAATTACCAGGATTATAACCGCGGGCCATACAGTAGAGTGACCACCTGTTGCTGTACAATCCTGTGTGTCAATCTTGGTTGTACATAATTCGTACCGGGTATTATTGGCAGCCATTTTTGATGTAAGGGTATCGTCGTATAGTAGGTGTGTTCCCGGGCCGTAAATAAAGTATGGTGACGCGCTGATTATACTTGATAACACCAAGATCATTTCGCTAATCGCGATCATACGTGGGCGACTGTAACGATTACCGAGATAGCCGATAAGTGTGCTTAGCTTAGATAAAATAAATTTATGTTTATGGATGTTAAATAAATATCACATTGTGTTTATAAAGCTAATTTAATTTGTAATTCTGGAATTTAATTTTTAATTAACAATAATAATTAATTTAATATTATAAAAATTATTTTTTGGTGTAAATTAGATTTACAATGTTTTCTTATTATCTTAGGACATATAATAAATTATAAATTAGGTTTCATGATGATAATACTTACCAGCATTTCCATAGTGTTGTCAGCTACTAATATAATGCCCGATATCCTGGAATCAAATGCGAACCGCTTTTCTATAGATGTCAACACTGCGAACAAATACGTTGAGGACATACTCTGGACAATACCGATAAGCGAATAGCATATTATAAAATAGATTGGTTTGGCGAACACCTGTAACCACTCGGGCCTCCACGACCCGAGTCCACAACTTGTAACCATATGGCCTTCACAATGTTCATAGTAATCATGTTGGTTATTATGTTTATTTTTCATAATTCTTAATAAATCTTACACTAAATTGAGTTATTACTTTATAGTTACATATCATTGATTAATTTAATATTAATTTATATGTGTAATATCCAAATAAACAATAAATATAAATTTAAATTATATACTATTTTGTGGCATATTAAATATTTCAAGTAATTTACTGTTTATTTTCAAATAGATTATATTATAAACTTAAAATGTTTGAAATCAATACACATGAAATTCTTTAATATAATTAAGCAAACCGTTTTGGAGCATTTGTGGAGCATTTTACATAGTTTTGCGCACAATAATGACTATTACAACAATTTGTTCATTTTAAAGCATTAGTTAAATTCTGATTCTCTAACTAATTCATAGTTTTTGTTTAGTCTGCATATTAAATGACTCATTTATTGGTTGCTTTAAATATAATACAACACTTAAGTTTATTAATTACATTTATATTTATCCAATTGATAATTTATAAATTGAATTTGATAACTAAAAAAGTATACAAATATATTGATAAAATATGAACATATGCACAGTTAATATTAGTTAATTTATATCAGCAAATTATACTTATGGTCATTTATCTATATATTAGTTTATATAATTGCTGTTTAATCAATATTATTATGTTTTATATTATCAGAATTAATAGTATTAATGATTTTCAAATTAACATTATTACCGTCATCATCTTTACAATCATTACTTTTATTATCAGTTACGTCATCATCAATTTCATCTTCGTAAAAATTTTTCATTTGGCTAGCATTAGCAATTAGACCAAGGTCCATTAAGGAGCCGATCACAAAAAACACCAAGGTGACAATGTGTAATGTGTATCGGAAACGATCTGCATCATACAACCAACAGTTACCTGTCTTACCACATGTGCTCTCCCATACCAAACAGACAGAGTCGGCGATAGCACCGTATATAATTGGATAGGGTATAAATGCTGTAACAATTAACAAAATTAAATATTAATTAATAACATTATCATTGAATATTTTTGAAAAACTTACTTGTAATTGCCAAAAACCCATTTACAAAGCCCATGGCAAAACTTTTGTCTCTTGGGTCAATTACTCTGCAACATTAAATTTAATTTATTAATGTTGTCAATTTATAAACTACTGTTATTATGTCATTTAACAATTAGATCATATTTACCTTAAACCAATTAAAATGTTACCAACTCTAGCGGTTGACGTTAGCATAAATGGTAGAGTTTTGACCATTAAATAATTGTACAAATTTGCACAACTGTCCGTGTCACTTTGACAATAACCACTATTTGCTATTCCACCATGATCAGATATGCACGAGCAATTGGTAGCAATCTATTTTTATAACAACAAATTAATTAATAATGTTTACATTATTTAGTCGCCTAAAATTATTTATCATTCGTTAACTATTATTTATCGCTTATTACTGGAATAAACAATTTGAATAAATACCCCCGTGTTTTTATCTAACTGCGTACAACCGGCATAACATGGGGAGAAATATGTGGTCACTTTATCGGCCGAACACATTGGTGTGAATACACTGGTAGTGCATTCGCAGCCTTGATTACAATCCGCATTCATTGTAAACCTAAATTAATTGGCAAACAATTATTTACCATGTTTGTATTAAATTGCAAATTAAAGTTAGTAATTAATTGTACTTGGTATTTGCCATTTCCGTGTTTGGCCCTAGCTGTATTGGTGGGCAGCCCAAAAACATTGACGCAAACATGCTACCATTAGATACCCATTCCAGGGCAAAAATGTAAATTAGCAAAATAAATGGTCTGGGTTTTAAATATCGTATCCCAACACCGCCCAAAATTACTCCAATGGTCACGGGCAGCATCCCGGTAACGCCTGTTAATAAATTAGCCTTGCTACCGGACACTCTGTACTGGGACTCGATGTATTTGGGCTTGGTCACCCCGTAGCCAGCATAGCCATTATAGCGGAATGCATTGCCAATCAGATTATACATAAACAATGGATTTGTTAATAGCCTTTTGCAACATTCCCAGAATCCTATTTAAACAATCAGTGAAATATTTAATTACTAACCTCTAACTCACATACATATTATCTAATATTTATATAAATTACCTTGAACACTATTATCGTAGTCAACACGGTCTTTCTCTTTGACCGAGGCCCCTTTGAACTGTCGTGGAAATAAAAACATTGGTAGTGTAGCTATAAACAATAGTACAGCGATCACGATAAATCCAATCCACCATGCGCCAATAAAACGCGGATCTCTGCTTGATACATGTGGATCAACTATTCAAAACAAACACATGGTTATAATATTGAGTGTTAAAACATTACAGTTAGCTTACAGAATGGATTTTCGTAATATTTGAGACAAAACGAGCCTAATAGAAATCCACCGGCGGGCCCAATCATTTTCAAAATGCACATTAAGCTCATATAAAGTGGCGAGCTCTTTTTGCTTATACTATCATCCACGAATGCCAAACCAAATACCCAGTACGCTGTATAGCCTATACCTCTCAACGCGCTGCCAATGACCAGCATAATAACAGCTCCCCATATAGTAGAGTGACCACCAGTTGATGTACACTCCTTTGTATTAATACTCGCCGAACACAACTCGTATCGGGTATTATTGGCTGTCATTTTAGATAGTAGCGTTTCGTCGTATAGTAGGTGTGTTCCCGGGCCATAAATGAAGTATGGTAACGCGCTGATCACACATGATAACACCAGGATCATTTCGCTAATCGCTATCATTTTGGGCCTACTGTACCGATTGCCCAGATAGCCGATAAGTGTGCTGAGCTAAAGTTAACAAAATTTTAATTATGTTTTAAATACAAATACCCTTTGTTTTCAGCAATACATAAAGTTAGACCCATTATTATTAATAACAAATGTTAATTTTAAAATGGTTACTTTATTATATTAAATGGGAGTGACATTGTTTTATTAAGATAATAAATAAATAAAATGTATAATTAATTTTGATATATTCTTACCAACATCTCCATAATGTTATCGGCAATTAATATAATGCCCGATATTTTAGAGTCAAACGCATAGCGCTTTTCTATAGATGTCAACACTGCAAACAAATACGTTGAGGACATACTCTGGACAACACCAATGAGTGAATAGCTAATTATAAAATAGATTGGTTTGGCGAACACCTGTAACCATTCCGGCCTCCACGACCCGAGTCCACAACTGGTGACCATGTGGTCATCCTGTTTTTCATTGTCCAAATCATGGTTATTATTATTATTGATATTACGTTTGTTTTTCATAATTTCTATTTAACATCACAATTAAAATAGTACAATATGTAATTTATAAGTCTAATAAATTTAATTTAAACTGACATTCAATTGAATGTAATTATAATGTCAATATTAATTAATTTACAAATAAAATAAATATGTTTAAACATTCAATAAATCATATGTTGGTTACTGTTTATTATCAAATAGATTAGATTATGGATTAATAATTGTTAAGTCTGTAAACTAATGTAATTTCCAAATATAAATTCAATCTTGATTTAATCTCAATCACATTTAGTACTATTCATAAAAATTAATTATAAAAGAGTTTGATTAAACTGACAATTATTTTTATTATGTCTGTTTTATGTCTAATTGACATGTTACAAATTTGTATTTTGAGTAAATGTGTTTAAAACGTTTATTTATAATAAAATTAATTTAATTAATTTAAAATTAGAAATTATTTTTAACTGAACTTAATTGATGTCATGCGCAACGTACTGTATATACCGTGTAAAATTACATTATTTTGCCTACTATGCCTAGTCAAGTTCAAATATGATTTTTGTGAATTAAGAAATATAATGCCAAAATATTATTACCAAAGCTAATAGATTGAGTGCATGAATATTATAAAATTATAAAATAAAAGTACAGTGTGTACAACTCATTTTGAAAAAATTCAAAAAACCATTTAATTTCAAAAATAATATAATTGCATTAAATAAAGTACACAAAAAATACAATAAACAAATAATTAGTTAAAAATAATTGCATTTAAATTAGTTGATTACATTTAATTAACAAAAATCTTTCCATGTTTTGTTCAGTAAAACTTCTTCTGGTGTGTGAATACATATGATTTAAATGAGAAAAAGATCTCTCGACGTCAACACTTGTCACATAATTTATAACTCTCACTCCTAAAATTTACAAACTAAAACTTATATTTCCACTACAAACTACATTGAATCATATTTGAACTTGATTAACACAATTCAGCACAATCCACTATACATTTAAAAAATGTTTTAATGTAGTGTCCATTGATAAAATTTGGAATGTACTTGCACTTCATAACTTATACAATTCCAGCGAAATCCACACCAAATTTTACAATAAAATAAGGTGGGGTCAATTTGACCCATTTGACATATTTGCACTTCATGACATAGAATTGAGCACAATCCACTATACATTTTATCAATGTTTTAAGGTAAGGTCCATTGATAAAACTTGGAATGTATTTGCACTTCATGACTTATAGAATTGAGCACAATCCACTATACATTTTATCAATGTTTTAAGATAGGGTCCATTGATAAAACTTGGGATGTATTTGCACTTTATGACTTATAGAATTGAGCACAATCCACTATACATTTTATCAATGTTTTAAGGTAGGGTTCATTGATAAAACTTGGGATGTATTTGCACTTCATGACTTATAGAATTGAGCACAATCCACTATACATTTTGTAAATGTTTTAAGGTAAGGCCTATTGATAAAACTTGGGATGTATTTGCACTTCATAACTTATACAATTCCAGCGAAATCCACCCCAAATTTTACAATTATATAAGGTGGGGTCAATTTGATAACACATTAGACCTATTTGCACTTCATGATTTATAGAATTGAGAACAATCCACTATACATTTTATAAATGTTTTAAGGTAAGGCCTATTGATAAAACTTGGGATGTATTTGCACTTCATAAGTAATAAGATTAAATTTATATAGCAGATTTGGTACAATAGTTGTCCTGGGTAATGGCAAAATTACTTACATTCCAAATAACTGTTATTTAACAGTTGAAATAAACAAGGTAATTTGAATATTGATAATGATTTAATTTGATTGCCAATCGCAAGTTGATTAACCCTGGTTAGATTTACATATTAACTGTTTGAGCTGTAGTACAGATGTTGTAACTTAGGTTTAATTAACCTGGTTTTATCAATACCAATAGTGAAAGCAGTGTTCGCCAATTGTGTGTCAATAGTATATAAGACATTACTTGGGGCTGACTTTTTTCTCCGTCGCTCCGTCTCCGTCGATAAATTTAACATTTATGTTTTATACATGGAGTCAATGTAAAGTTATTCGGCAGAATATTTTTTATCGAAAATTTTAAAATGACACAATTTATTGATATTATACATGATTTCGATGTAGAATCATACGCCAATTCCGTATTTTAAATTTCCAATTTTCTATATCAAATACTTTAAAAGTTATATAAATTTTAACATTTTAAAGTCGATTAGATCGAAAATTATACAGTTAAATTTGAAACCGATTTGAGAATATTAATCAGCGTTAAAATCTACATCAAACTCATATACCATATTAATAAATTACGTCATTTTAAAATTTTCGATAAAAAATATTCTAAGTCGAATAACTCGAAATATATTCAAAATAAAATATTTTCGATTCCAGATTCGAACTCAGCGATGAATTCTACATTGACTCCATGTATAAAACATAAATGTTAAATTTATCGACGGAGACGGAGCAACGGAGAAAAAAGTCAGCCCCCATTACTTGTGGTTTCGTATGAAAATTATAATAAACTTATTTTATACGTTTGATACACACATCCCATCAAATATATCACGTGTGATATTATTTTGTAGTAAGTTTTAATATTTACTATCATAATTAATTTCTTTACGTATTACGCTATTACATATAATTTTAAAATTTTTATTTCAAAAATGTATTAAACATTTATAATAATGTTGTAACTTGAAATAAATTAATATAACTTACAAACAACAGATATATAAAGCTATACATAGCAGCTATATATTTCTTATAAACAACATAATTATTATGCTAATAACATAATTTGTTAATGCATTGCAAATTACAACTTGTAATAATAAAACATATTACATAAGATGTATTATTATAATAATGTATCATAATGTATAATGTATCATCATCATAATTGTCAGTTAAATTATTTGCACTTATTAGAGTATTTTATTATAATATGACAGTAATAATATTAGATTTGACATTCTAAAAAATATAAAAAGTATCAATATAATGTTTATAAAAAATACTCTAATTGCTAAAGATATTATAAATATTAAATATTATTTGTATAATTTTAAACATTAAATTCAAGCATATTTATACAAAAACACGAATATTGATATAATAAAATATATATAACTTTATATACCTATTATTTGTATAATACATTAAACGAAATGTCAATATAAAGCAAAATTCAATTTAAAATATAATTGTTTAACAAAGTTATATCTATTTGTATTTAATATCAAAGGTTATCGTTATTAACACTATTATCTTTGTTATCGTCATCATGATCATCATCATAAAAGTTTGTAATCCGACTGGCTTTAGCAATAATACCCAGATCAAACAGCGAGCCCATTATGATTAAAGCCAATGTGAAACCGTGCAGCACATATCTGAAACGATCCTGGTCATACAGCCAACAGTTACCAGTTTTACCACACGTACTCTCATATACCAAACATGCTGAGTCGGCGATCGCACCGAATACAATTGGATAGGGTATGTAAACTAAACATTTTTCAGCATTAAGGTCATTTAAATAAAATAATTAATTTAATGATTTAACTAGGTTTTAATTACCAAACAATGACATTACGCAATTTATAATGCCCATGGCAAAACTTTTATCACTTTCATCAATAACTCTAAAAATTAATGAATGGCAATTTAGTAATGATGGAAATCTAAATTTTAGTTCATGTAAATTATGATGTATTTAAATGTTTACCTTAATGTTAGCAAAATATTACCAGTCCTGGCTGTAGCACTGATCATGCCTGGTATGATCTTAACCCATAAATAATTATATAAGTTGGTACAACTCTCAGCATCGCTTTTACAATAACCAACTGTGGCTGTGCCACCATGGTCAGCGATGCATGAACAATTTGCGGCAATCTACAATGCATCATTCACAAAAATTAACCGTTAATGTAATAAAGTAGTTATAATTTTTAATTGATTACCCCAGTTGTTCTATTAATATTTGTGCAGCCGGCATAGCATGGTGAAAAATATGTGGTCACCCTATCGGCTGAACAGATGGGCGTAAATATACTCGTAGAACAATCACAACCAGCATTACACTCGGCATTCATAGTAAACCTATGGCATAAAAATTAATGTTTATAAATAAATCATATTTATCATATCAATAGTATAACAAAATTAAAAATTGTACTTGGTAGTGGCAACTTCTTGAATGGGACCTAGTTGCAAAGGCGGACAGCCTAAATACATGGAGGCCAACATACCGCCATTGCCCACCCATTCAATGGCAAACATGTAAATGATCAGGGTGAGTGGTTTAGGCTTAAAGTATTTAATCACGATACCGCCGACTAAAATGCCAATAGCGTCGGGCACCATCCCGGCTACACCGGTAAGTAGCGTGGCTTTACTGCCCGACACCCGGTACTGTGACTCCATGTATTTGGGCTTGGTGATACCGTAACCGGCAAACCCGCTGTATCGCAAACCGTTGCCAATCATGTTAAACATAAATAGGGGATTTGTAGCTAGACGTTTTGCGCAAACCCATATGCCTGTCAGTATAATTAAAAGTAAATTTTCATAACGTTAGCAATATAGTACATTAATAGATTACCTCGACCACTTTTATCCTGGCTAGTTATTTCTTTAAGCGTGGTTCCTTTTAATTGAGCTGGAAACAGGAACATGGGCATGTTTATGAAAAATAATATAAATCCGATGGCTAGAAATCCGATCCACCACGCGCCAATAAATCTTGGATCAGTGCGCGTAACACAAGGATCAACTATTTAAAACATTGTATACATTACTATATAATACAATTTAACTTGTAATTTATAACTTGCAACATACAAAATGGGTTTTCGTAATATTTCAAACAAAACGACCCTAGTAGAAAACCACCGGCGGGTCCAAACATTCGCAGAATGACCAAAAAGCTCATGTATATCGGCGAATTCTCCTTGCTAACACTATCATCAATAAAGGGTACGCCAAAACACCAAAACGCGCTATATCCAATACCCCTTAGTGCGCTACCTAGTATCAATATAAATACAGCCAACCATACGGTAGAGTGACCACCAGTGGCTGAGCAATCGACTGAGTCGCGTGATTCGGCGCACACCTCGTATCGGGTGGTATTCGTAAACATTTTGCTGGTCATACTGTTTTCGTATAGTAGGTGTGTTCCCGGGCCGTAAAAAAAGTATGGCGACGCGTTGACCACACATGATAATATTAATACTAATTCGCTCAGTGCTATCATACGGGGTCTACTGAACCGGTTGCCCAAATAGCCAACAATTGGACTGAGCTAGTAAAAATTAAAATAATTTTTTAAAAATAAATACACATTTAATAATTTATTTAATTAAATTATAATAATTGTTTTTGATAATAAATGTACTAATAATTATCATGTAAATTACATACAATCATTTCCATAACATTGTCGGCAATTAATATAATTCCGGATATCTTGGAGTCAAACGCGAATCGCTTTTCCAGTGATGTCAACACTGCTATTAAATAAGTGGCGGACATATTCTGCACAATACCTATTGTGGAGAAAACTATAGCAAAATAAAAGGGTGTGGCAAACATTTGTAGCCACCCTGGTTTCCATGCACCAAGCCCACAACTGGTGTCCATTTGGTCATCTTGGTCATGTTTATTTTTGCTTTTATACATTTTATTGCCATTCACTTCATATTTAGTACTTGAACTTGACATGGTTATTAACTATTTTATTATAGTGTTTGTTTAATTAATAAAATATTATTACAATTTACATAAGCAATTTATTAAATTTACGTAGAAATCACATTTTTATAAGTTTTTAACATTTCACATTACAATAACATAAATAATTAGAAATAATTGATTTATTAAAAGTGCATGTAGTCAATTGACTAACATGAAGTGCTAGATGATAAAATTGTTTATATTATGAGATATACTTGGAATAAAATTTTTGCTAAAATATAATTTAGTAGTTACTAGTTTTTTAGTTTTAATCAATGTTTAAGTAAAATTATCTATATGATATTAATTAAACATTTATACTTTTAGAGTGAATATGAAATACAATTTATTACCATTATTAATCAAAATGTAATTCGTGTTAACAATTATTATATCCTTCAACATTTCAATTTAAAATCACATCAAAGTTATGAAGGTTATAATGTTTTCATGTAATACACACTTTATCACCAATGAATTAATATTCTTTATGTTACATTTATTATTAATCTTGTTGATTAAATTTATAATCAATTGAATAATAACAAATAAATTTATTTTAACCGGAATTGAGATACAAAATATTTTAATACATTTTTATTTTGTATAAAAGTATAGAAACATTGTTATTATTATTATCAGCAAGTTTTTATTTATTTTTTCAATTACAATTAAAACTATTCCAACCGGTTTATTATAAAGACTATTGCACTGTAAGAAGGTACAGTACATAAAAGTAAAATTTCCCATACATTCATAAATATATTTTACATGGTTAAAAATGTAAATGTTTAAATGTTTTTAAAAAATTATAACTCATTACATGTTGTCTAAATTTGTATCTACAGATAATTACATTAACCCAGTAGTTTACATTTCAAATTCGTCAATATCATCATTGTATAAATTTTTCACTCTCTTCGCCAACACTATGGCTATTATTTCGATGCAAATACCCGTCAAATAAGGCGCGAGTGTTAGTATATGTAGATTACGTTGCAATTTGTTTGTGTCGTAAACCCAACAGTTGCCTCTCTGTCCGCACCGGGACTCCCATATTAGACACGACCCGTCGACCACTGAGCCATATATGATAGGATACGGAATCATTGCTGGAAATGTTAATATAGAAATTACATTAATGTTAAAATTTATTGTTACTGTTATTATTATTAGTCAATACCGACAACACATGTAAAACAGATCATTAAACCGATGGCAAAACTCTTGTCTTCTTTGTCTACTATTCTGTAATCAAATTATAATTATTGTTATTATTTAATTATTAATATTTGCTATTGCAAACATTTTAAAATAAATTATGACAAACCTCATACAAACAATGTTGCTACCGACTTTTGCTAAATAACAAATTATGCTACCTATTCCCAACATTAATACATAAATAAACAAATTATTTCCACAATCAGTAGTACAATAGCCATCAGTTGCCGATCCATCAAAACATTTACAATCCGTATATTTCTAGTGTAAAATTAATAACAATTATAATATTAATTTAATTTTTACTAAATATGGTAATATTAAAATTAATAATTTACAATAAGTGTAGTATTTGTTGTATCACTTGTCTGACAACCGGCAATACAGGGAGAAAAGTAATTGGTTTGGTTGTCCGGACCACAAATGGGCTGATATTTAGCATGTTTGCAAAAACAATTGTCGTTACACTTGGATTGAAACTGAAAACTATAAAATCATTATTAATATTATAGTAAGTAGACATTTAGCTGGACACTAAAACGTAAACGCATATACTTTATAACATTACATAGATTTAATTAATAATATAATTAATTATTTAATTTATAGAATTAGATTATATCTAATAATAATTAACTATTTTGTTGTATTATATTTTCTTCTTGCTTTTAAAGGCTCAATAATAAAATTAAAAATGTTACTAGCCTAAATAAATACATACTCTGCGTTTGTGAGTGAAGTGCCCGCATACTGTGATTGAGGGCAACCGAGAAATATTCCCGATATAATACCCATCGCTGATAATAATTCAACGGCTGTTATGAATGTGATTAAAAGTCGAGGACCGGGGAGAAATTTGCGGACTATTAAACCACCTAGTAAATAACCAGTTGACATCGGGATTACACCAAGCACGCCTAAAATTTAAATAAATATAAAAATTGTAAAACAACATTTAGCAAACTAGGCAAAAGATTTAATACAATAATTCTAATAATTAGTCATGAATGTTAGAATGTAAAATGTTTATAAATTTAACAAATATAATTGATTTTAAATTAGATCATTGGGTAAAATATGAATATTTGCCTGAAAATAGATTAGCAGTGGAGGCGGACGTGTGATATTGGGACTCAATGTATCTAGCGTTGAACGTGCCGTATCCGGCCAATGAAAACAGTCGCAATGTACTGCCCAACGTATAACAAACATATATGGGATTTTTTAGCAACCTTAATATTCGACCCCAAATACCTAATTGTAAACAGTAAAATAATTATACACAGCATCTATTAATTTAATATGACAATTTTTAAATCTATTTGGTAGAATTATTAATTTTACTTAATTTCTTTGTTTTCTTGGCATTAATTATTGTGACCATATTGTCTGAATTATGATTTTGTTGACTTTCAATTCTCTTGCTAATTAGGAAACTTCTCGGAAACATAAACATGGGTATTGAGAATAATATGATGATTGTACCGATAATAATAAATCCAATCCACCATGCACCAACCCATCTCGGGTCGTTTGGCCCAATGCCCGGCTCAACTAATATATTAAAAATATTACCATTATTAAATTAACTAATTTAATGATGTCTTACAAAATGGGTTTTCATAAAATCGTAAACAATATGATGAAAGCATATATGCAAATGTGGGTCCGCACAGACGTATGGCTCCCGTTAGACCTATTAATTAACCAATAATTAATTAACACACAAACAAAAGTTACCATGATAGCTCAAACATATACTGTACCTAAATAAATGGGCGCATTCTTCTTCTTGACAGAATCGTCAACAAATATATAGCCAATTGTAGTGAACGCTACAAAACCAATACCATTACAAAAACTACATATGGCTAACATTATAATCGCCGGCAATACTCTAAACGTTTGGTCAGACACTACGGTATTGGTATTAACATCATTACTATTATCGCAGTAATCTTTATCTCCCGAACGGTTTGCATCGCAAAACAAGGCACTTGTATTGACCGCGTGCTGATTACCCGCAACACCCGATTCGCGGCCACTCAGGCTTAACAGATGAACGCCGGGGCCGTATATAAAGTACGGCGCTGCGGCTAAATAGCAGCTGAACGCCACAATCAGATTGCATATGGCTATTAGTCGCGGCCGGTGAACCCGGTCGGCCAGGTAGCCAATCACCGGATTCAACGAGAACTCGGTAAAATTGTTTGTCAATATGATGTAGCCCGATATGGCACTGCCGAACGCGTAGCGTTTTTCCAACGTGGTTACGCTGGCTATTATGTAGCTAAATGCTGCTGATTGCGCGATGGCTAGTCCGCCCAGTATGACCATAAACACCTTGGTAGAGGCAAATATTTGTAGCCATTTTGGTTGCCACGAACCCAATCCGCACATGTATTCACTGGTTGTTGGTTTCTGGACGTCATTTATTGATTTCATTGTAATTTTATAGTTTTTATAATTTGTTAAGAATTATTTTTTAATTAAATAATTGACAAAAGCTTGATTATACTTTTTTTTAATAACAATTAATAAATTATAATTATTTATGTTTACAGAAGTACTATTTTTAAAAAACATAATTAAATATTTTTAATGATTCTTGATAACAGTTTTGTCAAATTTATATAACTTATACTGTATATATTACAAAATTAGAGTAAAATTTGTTTTTAATTAATTGAGTGATTTGGACATTATTAGATTATAAATTGATTACATTTTAAGCGATATAATTTACCCTTGATAACAAGTGCGTGTACATTTGTAGTATTTTACTGTATTTTAAATGTTTAAAATATTCAATTGAAATGACATTGAAAGCATATAATTTTATCAAATCTTTTATAAAGTAATTTATAACTTACACTACATATCAGCAATTATTGACAGTAATGTACTACACTATGATAATCTAGATAATTATTACGCGATAAATCATGTTTAATTTCATGTATATATTATTTTAGTATCACAAATTTTGTGACCTAATGCCCGAACATTTAAACATTATATTTTATATTTATCAGTGCTCTTACATTACTATTAGCTAACTGTTATGTTAAAAATTAATTTATATTGAAAAATAAAATGTACTTCAATAAAATAATTTAACTTTAACAATTATTATGAATTATATTTATATCCCGGGCTATTTATAAAT